GCTCAGTCAGTCTCGGGCAAGTTCCCCCCATCAAGCACCCTTTTTACTTCGATTCGCTGGAGTCACTTCCTACTTCCGCGACTTTTGATGAAGAGTCGTGCAAGCCTCTCGGGACTCGCTACGATGGCCAAATCGCTGTCGTTGGCAAAGAATTCCAGGACAAGATTGCCAATGTCAAGCAATTCTTGGTTGGCGCTGGCGCCATCGGTTGCGAGATGTTGAAGAACTGGGCCATGATCGGTCTTGCTACCGGTCCAAACGGCAAGATCAGTGTGACAGACATGGATCAGATCGAGAAGAGTAACTTGAACCGGCAGTTCTTGTTCCGCTCCAAGGACGTCGGCAAGCTCAAATCAGAATGCGCATCGCAGGCTGTGCAGGCGATGAACCCAGACCTTAACGGCCACATCAACATGCTGAAGGACCGCGTTGCACAAGACACAGAGCACATCTTCAATGAAGACTTCTGGGAAGCTCTTGACGGTGTGACTAATGCTTTGGACAATGTCGATGCTCGCACGTACGTCGACCGTCGTTGCGTATTCTTCCACAAGCCTCTACTCGACAGCGGTACTCTCGGTACGAAGGGCAACACCCAAGTTGTGCTCCCGCGCCAGACCGAATCCTACTCGAGCTCACAAGACCCTCCTGAGCAATCTTTCCCCATGTGCACGCTGCGTTCTTTCCCCAATCGCATTGAGCACACCATTGCTTGGGCAAAGGATCTCTTCCACTCCTACTTTGCCGGTCCGGCAGACATCGTCAACGCGTACATGACACAGAAGGATTATCTGGGCACGGCTCTCAAGCAGTCCGGCAATGAAAAGCAGACATTGGAGACTTTGCAAGAATACCTTGTAACTTCCAAGCCAGAAAGCTTCGACGACTGCATTGAGTGGGCGCGCACACAGTTTGAGAAGCAGTACAACAATGCTATCCAACAGCTCCTGTACAACTTTCCCAAGGACAGCAAGACCTCCTCAGGGCAGCCCTTTTGGTCTGGACCGAAGCGCGCTCCTGATGCGCTCAAATTCGACGCCAACAACCCCACTCACTACACATTCATCCTCGCCGCTGCCAACCTTCACGCCTTCAACTACCATATCAAGCCAAAGAACGATCGAAGCTACATGGTCAGCGTGCTCGAACGCATGATCGTGCCCGACTTCAAGCCGGATGCCAACGTCAAGATCCAGGCTGACGACAAGGAGCCTGATCCAAATGCCAACGCTCCAGCAGATGACAATGAAGAGCTTTCACAGATCGCCAGGTCGCTTCCACAACCAAAGACGCTTGGCGACTTCCGTCTCGAGCCAGTCGAGTTTGAGAAGGACGATGACACCAATTTCCACATCGATTTCATCACTGCAGCATCAAACCTCCGCGCGGAGAACTACAAGATCACGACTGCTGATCGTCACAAGACCAAGTTCATTGCTGGAAAGATCATCCCGGCCATCGCCACCACGACCGCTCTCGTGACAGGTCTTGTGGTCTTGGAGCTGTACAAGATCATCGACGGAAAGGAGGATATCGAGCAGTACAAGAATGGATTCGTCAACCTGGCTCTGCCATTCTTTGGCTTCTCGGAACCGATTGCTTCACCCAAGGGCAAGTACCAGGGACCTAATGGTGAAGTGACCATCGACAAGCTCTGGGACCGCTTCGAATCGAAGGACGTTACACTGAAGGAATTCATCGAGGACTTCAAAGCAAAGGGACTGACCATTAGCATGATCAGTTCTGGCGTCAGCTTGCTCTACGCCTCCTTCTATCCTCCCGCCAAGCTCAAGGACCGCCTTCCACTCAAGCTTTCCGAACTGGTCGAGACGATTTCTAGGAAGAAGATTCCCGAGCATCAGAAGAATGTCATCTTTGAGATTACGTGTGAGGATGAGACGGAGGAAGATGTCGAGGTTCCTTATGTCATGGTCAAGCTTGACAAGTAAGGACGGACGAATTCATTCGTTGGATGGATTATTGCAAAGGGCATACAGATTTGGAGATTTTGCACAGATTGATCGACTGTACTGTCGATGTCGGTCGTGTCGGATCGGATCAGATAAGGTTCATGCGATATGGCACTTAGAATAGATGGTAGCATGTGTATCATGTGCAAACAAAACAACGCTCCTTGAAGGAAATCTCGCCAACGACGCCCCGCCAGCTTCTTCCTCATGCTTAGTCGTTCTCCTTACTGCCTTTCCCAGGATTTGTGAGAAATTTGTTCGATGATAGGCAACAGAAAATATCGTCGTTCAAAGCTTCCGACGACGTTTGCGCGTTCGTCTCTTGATGCAGCCGGATTGTCTTGGCGCTTCTAACCTCCTCTCTGTCGCGTCGTACTCCGACTTTCACAATATCATCAACAACACACGGCATTTTCTGGCCCACGGTCGACCGGAATATTAAACAAAACACGGCACGGCGCGCGAGACCTTCGAGAGCAGTCCGGTCAGTGTCTTCGCTGGGTGACTGGTCCAGCGCGGGATATCCGGGTATTCAATGTCGCATATGGCACCCAGTGCAAAAGATCGCCGGCCACGCCAGAGACGGCACGGAGCATGCGTGGCGTGCAAGAAGCGCAAGGTCCGCTGCACTGGCGAAAGACCCGCGTGCACAGAATGTCGTAAATCTGCGATAGGCTGCGTGTACATGAAAATGAAAGATCTTACCGAAGCTGAAGCCGAGGCGCTGGCACGATCCATTGACAGAATGAAGTCCTATGGTCATGCTCGCCGTGGCCCTGGCCCTCCCATTCTCTGGACCGATGACAATGGCCAAATCCACGAAAGGCTGAGACAGGCGTGCGATCGGTGTCGAGCTAAGAAGACTCGATGCTCGGGCCATGTGCCGGAGTGCGCTGCATGTGTCGAGCGTGGATTTCCCTGTTTATATGCCAGTGACCAGCGAAGGCGTATAAGAACGAATGAGCTTGATACGAGTCCACGGAAAAGGCGAAGGACGGATTCACCAGAGGCCCCACGAGCCCTCACGACTGCGCACTACAATCTGCCTTACAACCCCACCTACAAACCACCATATACCCCTATCTCGCAGACCAAATCTCCAGACGCCGTGACCAGAAAAACTAGAGCCCCGCGAGGATCGACGTGCACCAATTGCAGGAGGAAGAAACGAGAATGCACCGGCGAGACTTTTCCATGCCAACCTTGCCATTCGCAAGGACTTGCTTGCGTCCCACAAACCGCTGGAGCCGATGTAGTGCGTCCACCACATACCCAGTATCGCACACAAGAGCCACCGCCGCCGCCAGCACCCCCTCAGCAAGACGACGACCCTTCAGACCAACTACAACGTGAGACGAAAGAAGCAGACCCCGGCCCTACCAAAGAACGACCCCACCCCTGCCATGAATGCGGCAAATGCTTCACCCGCCGCGAACATCTCCGCCGCCACGCAATCATCCACCTCGGCCAGAAACCCTTCGCCTGCACAGTCCGGGGCTGCACCCGAGCCTTCTACCGCTCCGATCAACTCCTCCGCCACTCCCGCACCCACTACCCACCACCCTCCTCCTCCTCCCCCCATCGCAACGAAATCCGGTCATGTTATAGTTGTGACCGCAATTTCCCCAACGCCACGGCTTTCTACGAACATTTTCCTTGCGTGGGGACGGCCACGGCCACGGCTACGGCTACGGATGAGATGAAGCGGTGTGGGGCTTGTGGGAGGGATGGGGTTGCGTTGCGGAGGCATTGGCCGTGTGATGAGCGGGCCAAGACGGATTTTGGGGATTTTGTCACGCAGTTGGAGGTTGCGGCTTGTGTTACGCCGTCGGATGGTGAGGGGAAGGGGGAGGCGGCGAGCCACTACTGCTACTTATGATGAAATTTTCATTGGCCTTTTGCCTGTTATATCACGTGAATCCTTCCACTTCCTTCTTGACAGTTTGTACCTCTCGTGGAAATTTTTTTTGGTGGACCTGTGTTTAAGACAGGGAATTATATAGTATCTCCTCGATCTAGAACGATAGGATCAAATCTATACGCTAGAAAGGAGTGCACATCGTGAATAGATCTCGTCTACCTTATATATAGCACACTCCTAGTAGTACGGCTCTATAGGACAAACAGACTAAGTACTTTCGTAAGAGGATCGAAGGATTTTAGTTTATTTAGTATATATACGAGTAAGCAAAAATCTATTAAATTAAATATTACTTATAATAGTTAGAGGCTAAGTAGTAAGAATATATACTAAACTTTAAACAGAACTAAAGAGAGTACTAAATTAATATAGCTACTATCTATATAAAATAAACTATAAAGAAAGAAAGAAGAGTATCTTAGAAGGAGAGCCCCTTCTTTAGTATCCTACCCTATAGGCGTCTAGCGCGTCCGACGTATAAGCGTAGGTATATATATCTTACTTACTTACTTCTTAGTAAACCTCTACTTTTAGGTCCTTTCCTATACGCCGAGCGCGAGCGCGTATATTCCGCTTATCTGCTATCTCGTAGCGACTTTGTTTTCTAGCTATCGTATATAGCGCGCGAGCGCGAACTCGTTTAATCGCTCTTAAGTAAATATATTTCTCCTAGCTCTTTCCTATCTTCCGGCTCCTTCCTACTACTTAGATCTATTCTACTACTCGGATCTATTCTACTACTCTATATATCTCGCTTACTATCGTTCGTATATTGTAAGAAGGGTTTTGTTAGCAGGTAGATAGGGTAGTAGTAAATTAGTATAGTATTCGATAAAGATCTAAGAGGAGAGGGAGGAAGGTAGGCAAGTTAGCCTAACGCTAAGCGCTAAGCCCTACCTAAGGCACTAAGACCCTAGCTTTACTCGAGCCTAGTTATATACCAATTACGTATAACCTCTTTAGTCCTAATATACGCTTCCCTTCTAAAGGCCGCGCCCTCGTAGCCGGTCTTTGTTCTAACCTCTATCGCTACTAACTTAGTAGGTCTAATAAGCTACTCGATCCGCGCTAAATTAAATACGTAACTACCGATTATATAACTATATTAAACCTCACCTCTAATATAACACAATATCTAACTCTAACTACGCTATCCTTGTATATAATAAAGTAATATATAACTATAAGAATTAAGGACTATCGACTAATTACAATACGAGCGCACCTTCCCTACTATAATAGGTAGGTATACGGGGTATTATAGCACTACCCCCGTTCTAAGTAATGTCGTACCGAGTTCTCTACGTCTACTCTTAAAAGACCTAGAAATGTCCGCTTCCGAGAGTTGTCCGCTTCCGAGGGTTGTCCGCTTCCGAGGGTTGTCCGCTTCTAAGGGATTGTTCTTATTATTACGAGGGATTGTTCTTATTATTACGAGGGCTATTATTTACTATCGTAGTTTTACTAGCCCTAATTAGTTAGGTTTAGTAGCCTTCAAGTGTTAATCTTATCTTATCTTTTCAAAAAATACGGTTCGTCCGGTTTCTATAAGTAAAGGCTATTATAAGTATAGTAGTCGAGGTTCGCCTCGCTTAAAGGGTCGGAAAGATCGAGGAGTAACTTATTATCCGCAAGATCGACCCCGGCTAACTTAGCTCTATAGTTTTGCCCTTAGTTAGTTATTCTATTAAGCCGCTTAATCCTTTAAGCCTTAATATTTTAACTTAGCCTTAAAGTTTTAATTAAACCTTTAATATAGCTATTAGATATAGCGATAATAGCAAGTAATATTAATAATAGCGGCGCTAGTCGTCTTAGCGCTAACTTTACCTCGCCTCTAATTTCTTTCTTTAACTAATAATAACTCGGCAATACCGTTACTAATATAGACGTGTCTTCCCTTCTTTAAGCAGCAATACGCACCCTGCAATACCGTTACTAATATAGCCGCGCCGGCCGCCGGCATACTACTAGCTCGTAGCGCGATACTATTATCTTCGATAGGATAAAGGAACAAGAGAGGCGCTAAGAGAAGAGTCTTATAGAGTGCGCTAGTAAAGAGGTAGATTCTATAAAAGAGCATGCGATTAGTTAATGCGCTATAGCGCGCTAGTTAGCACTCGGTGCGCGTTTATCGGTATGCGTTTACTATAGTAGTATAGTCTTATTGTCCTTTATTGCTAACAATTGCTTGCCTCTAATTAGTTAGCTAATAGCACCCCGGGGGTAGTATTGTTCCTAGGCGACATTATAGGCCCTTAGCCTTCTTCTTATTCTTTACACTAGTCTAATACTCGTCTAGCAACTTAGTTATATCCTTAAACGAGTCTTTAGCCTCCTACGAGTCCTATTTAGGTAAATAGCCTTGCTATCTTAGGAGGTACTCCTTCTTGCCTTGTCTAGTCCGGTGCTATAGGATACGTTCTATAGACTATAGCTCTTTACTATCCGCTAGTATATCTTCGTATTTAGTAGGGGCTTTATCCCCTTCGCGTAGGTAGTACGGCTTAAGGAGGGATATATAGAAGGTGTTATAGATAGTGTAATAAGGTAGAAGCTATAACTAATAGGCCTAGGTGCCCCTAGGTTCTCGGATACGGAAAGGGCTAATATACCTTAGTGCGAGTTTAGGCCTTGTTTTGCTATTAGGCGAGGGGTATTTACGGATACGGAGGTTCTTCGTACTAAGTATAACTAGGTCGCCTTGCTTAAAGGTTATTAGAAGGTAGTGTTTGTTATAGTAGGCCTTCTAATAGGCCTAGGCCTTTGCTAGTTTGTTAGCTATCTTAGCGTGAATTTCTCGTATCTTTTAAACCCTCTTAATAGCCGCTAATATCTTAGGTTGACCCGCTTCCCTTTCCTTACGCTCGGCCTCGAGCAATAGGGGGTCTTATAGTAGCGTAGGGTTGCTTCCTATTATAACGAAATAAGGTAATACCTTAGTAGATAAGTAGACACTATTATTGTATACGAATTCGGCTAGTTATAGGAGATTAACCTAGTTATCGGGGTTCTTATTAATATAGCTGCGTAGGTACTACTATAGGGTAGTATTCTATCTCTCTGTTTAACCGTTAGTCTATAGACAGAAGGCTATTAATAGCCGATGCTTTAGTCTTAGCTATAGGCATATTTCGCTCTAATAGTACGATATAAATGTCGAGCCCCTATCGGAGACTATCCCCTTAGGGGTTCCCTAATAGGTATAGAAGATATTAGTCTATAGCGCCTCTACTATATTAATAGCAGTCTAATCCTTACGCGCCGGGATGTATCGAGCGCCTTTAGTAAATCGATCTACTACAATAAGGATAGCATTATACACGTCCTTGCAAGTTGCTACCCCTACGCTTAGTAGGCGGAAGGCCTATAATAAAGTCTATTATAAGCTCTATAAATAGCTTGTAAGGGATTGGTAAAGAGGACAACTCGCTAAAATGCTAATACTTTAGTGCCTTAATACGTTAGTATACGGTATACGTATTAACGTATTCCTTTATATCCCGCTTACTATTTAGCTAGTAGTATATACGCGATAGTAGCTCGTGCGACCTCTCTATACTATAGTAACCGGCAAGCTTACTATTATAGTGTCGCTTAAGAAGTTCTTATCGGATCGAATGTTTAGTAAGGATATAGTATCTGCCCTTAAACTTTAAATAACCTTTATTATCGATCGACTAATTGTTACTCTTACTAGTTCGAGTCTTTCGCCTACTTACAAGCTTATCGATACGTTTAGTAGTAAAGGCGTCCCTTTGCTAAGTACGTAATAGCTTATCTATAAACGATTAACTATCCCTATTTATAAGGTTATTTAATAGCACCCTCGCTATTAAACGAGGTACGCATTATATATATCTAATAGTACTAGCAGCCAGATTAACTATAGTAGTACTATCGCTGTTACTATATATTACGATATCGACTAGGGAGTTATTATAACTTCTCCTATCTATATCCTTAGCCCTTACCTTAATACGTACTATTAATATAGCAAGAGCATTAATATACTTTAAGCCGTCGCGGAGTCCGGTAAGCCGCTTATCCTACGCTTGCTTATTAATAATACGGGCTATAGCGATCTTATACTATAGGGTTAGAAACAAAGAATTAATGTGTTAGGTTTCGCCGTCGTAATTAGGTCGCCTCGATAGGCTATTAGTAGGGTTGCTTACGCCTAGCCGATATAATATATTAAAATTAAACCTAGCGAGGTAGACGGCCTATCTAGCCTATCGACCTATAACCCTAGTAACCTTAGTAATGCTACGGAGGTTGTTATAGTCTATATAGACCTGTATTGTATATTAAGCCCTATCGAGGTAGTACCTCTAATACTAAAAGGCCTCGACAATAGCTAGTAGCTCTTACTCGTAGGTCTCGTAGCGACGCTTAGTATTAATTATCTTCCTCGAGAAGAAGGCAATCGGGTGCTAATAATAGTCCTTATCCGATTATTGTAATATAATAGCTAATACAGCAAACTATAAGGCGTTAGTCTTAATACAGATCTGCCTGTTTAGTACGAAATAGTGCAATAAGGGGACTTTAGTAAAGCGCTGCTTTAAACCGTTAAAAGCGGCTTACACTTTGTTAGTCTATTTGAACTCTCTAGATAGATTAGCCTTAGTCTTAGTAAGCTTAGTTAATAGCATTATATGCCTCGAATAGCCCTTAATAAACCGGCGGTAGAAGTTAGTAAAACCGAGGAATAATTAAAGCTCTTTAATAGACGTAGGAACAGGCCATTTAGTAATCGTTTTAATCTAATTAGGATTAGCCTTAACACCCTCGGTTAATACGAGGAAGCTAAGGAAGGACACCTCCTTAGTAGCAAAGGTGCATTTAGAAGGCTTGCAATATAGGCTATAGGCCTATAGGCGGTCGAGTACCTTATATACTATAGCCTAGTACTTTGCAATGTTAGGTAAATAGGTATAAACTAGGATATCGTCTAGGTAAACTATATAGAGGTAGTCTAATAGGCCTAATAGGGCCCGATTAATATAGGACTAGAATATTGTAGGGGCGTTAGCTAGCCTAAATAGTATAACTAAGTACTCGAAATAGCTATAACGAGTACGAAAGGCTGTCTTCTACTTATCGCCCTTACGAATGCAGATACGGTAATAGGCGTCCTTAATATCTAATATAGTATAGTAGTAGGTACTAGAAAGGCGATCGAGGGTCTTATTAATAAGCGGGAGTAGATAGCGGTCCTTAATAGTAACGGTATTAAGCCCGCGATAATCGATATATAGGCGCAGGCCGCTATCCTTCTTTAGTACAAACAGGATAGGTGCACCGGTAGGGCTGTTACTATACCGAATACGCCTATTAGCTAGGTTTTCCTCTAGATACTTACGTAATATAGCAAGCTCGCGCTTACTAAGGTTATAGAGTAGTCTAAAAGGAACCTCTTTGCCCTCTATAATGTTAATCTTATAATCTGTCTCCTTAAATATAGGCAATGTCGATGCTAGGTAGTATTTAAATACGTTAATATAGGTTTCTCGAATAGGCTCTAGTATACGAGCGAGCTAGTTAGGGTCTATACTATTAGGAGGCACAGGTTTATCGTTATTACTACTAAGTAGGTCGGTAGTCGGATTAGCTAAGGCAGAGGCCGGTATTAGGTTGCTAATAAATAGGACCCTAATATCGTTAGGGCACTCGCTAATATTAATGTGTTTAATGTCCTCTTTCCGAGCGATTCTAAATCGCTACTTCTAAATGCCTAAGTCTATAGCTATAGCGTAGTACTTAAGAATAGGGTTGCTAATAACAATAGTAGCTCCCCTATATAGGTTGTCTATATCTACTACGTAGGCGGGGAAGTTTAGTAGGCGCTTATTGCCGAGGTCGTCTCTTAGGGCTATATAAACATAGTAGGCTCTATAGGTTAAGTGCCGAGCGTTATTAAACCAAGTAAGGGTTAGTAGGTTAGTCCTAGGCAATTGTCGAAGGTCTAATTGCTTAGCTAGGCGATAGCTAATAAGGGCGCTAACTGAATTTCCTAGGTCTAGCGTAACCTTAGTTTTATAATTGTTGCTATATATATCCCCTACGAGATAGGTACGTATAATAGCTAGTATAATGTCGATAGTCTTACGCCGTATAAGGCTAACAGTTAGTACGGCGCTTACTCTTTTTTCGACTAATTAGAAGGACCGATAGGGGTAGCGTTAGCGGCTAAAAGGTGCTTTCGGTGTTTAGTAGTAGTACGGTCGATTCGGGCCTAGTCCTTAGGTTTATCGCATTAGCCTAGGAGATAGCTAGTACTATTATAGTTGAAGCACTTTAACCCGGTTAGGGGATTGCTATAGCCGCTATCGCTGCTATTATTAGTTAAGCGATTAGTATTATAGGGATACGAGCCCCTTCTACGGCCCCTATTACGGCCTCCTCTATATAGCCGTCGGCTACGGCCCCTTCTACGGTCGTTGTTACTATTCCTATTGTTAGCATTATTGTCTTAGTAGGAACCTTAATTCCCTCCGCGGCTACGGTTGCTACGGTTGCTAGCAGGTCGGATCCTTAATTCTAGTCGTTACTAGAGCTAGACAGCTCGTTTAGCTGTTTCTACCTCGACTATAAATTAAATGCGTATTAGGTTGGCCTATTTAAACATACGGCGGCGGTCCAATTTAAGGACTAATTCCTATCGCAATTTAGGGCGTATTTCGGAGATCTATATAGAATTAGTTTTAGCCGGAAGGTCGTCCTCGAGGGTCTTTAAACAGGCTTCAAATAAGCGAGCCGATTAATTAGTCTTTTATTTAGCTCGAAGGTACTAGTCCTAAGCGTATTGTTGCCTTAGTATAGGGTTTCTAAGGGTGTCTAGCATAATAGTCTTATAGGTTTTCTACTAAACAGCGGTCTAATCGTTAAGGGAGTCGAAATGGTTATCCTATGTGCGCTTTAGGTCGCTATTAATATACTATATAGCGTAGACAACTAGTAAATAGTCGTCTAGAAGAGCCCTCGGCGCATTTCGTTAGTTAAGCTTACAATCGCGTATATAATTATTATATTGCTTGCGACTAGAGCCGTTAAATACGGTACAGTCCTTATTACCTTAAGCTTAGCATCCTTCTTTTAGATAGGGACGGGTAGTAAGGAAGGCCCTACTATCGGCTTAGTATTAGTTGTTAGGGCTTCCTATAGGCGGCGAATCTCGAGGAGATTATCCTTTAGCTATTGTTCCTAACGCAAGGCAGTAAGCCTGTTCTAAGTAGCTTCTTAAAGTCTCGCTACTAGCTAGGGACTAAAGGCTAGTTAGCTATATCGACGGTTAATAATGTTGTTAAGAATGTCGTCGACAGGCAATTCTAGGTCGTTACCTAGAATTATAGGTTCTTTAGTAGGCTCTTCGGCAGGCTCTTTAGTAGGAGGCACTTTAGCAGGTGCTTTAGTAGGCACTTCGGTAGGTACTGTGCTACTAGCGTTGTCGTTACTAGCGCTGCTAGCGGTAGCACGGTTGTTGTTACTTCGTAATAAGCCGGCTATTATAAGGGGTAACACTAATAATGTATTATAGGCCCCTAAGATACGGATATAGCGGAATTAGTAGATATCGGCTTAGTGCGATTAACTTAGTGTAATAGGCCGTATAGAAGACCTTACTTAATAATTAGTACGGTTATTCTAATAGAATAGTACGTATAGATCCCGCCTCGGGCGCAATATAGTTAGATTAACGGTTTTCGTAGCTATACCGCTAAAAGCTTAAAATAAGGACTATCTAGCTGCTGCCCTTAAAGGGTGGATCGAATACTATATAAGAAGGGTTATGTTAGCAGGTAGATAGGGTAGTAGTAGGTACAAGTAGTATTCGATAAGAAGCTAGGAGGAGAGGGAGGAAGGTAGGCAAGTTAGCCTATTACTAAGCGCTAAGCCCTGCCTAAGGCATTAAGACCCTAGCTTTACTCGAGCCCGGTTATATACCAATTACGTATAACCTCTTTAGTCCTAATAAGTATCTCCTCGATCCGATCCGGAACGATAGGATTAACTTAAAATCTATAGGCTACAAAGGAGTGCATATCGTAAATAAATCTATATTTAAAGAATAACTACAATCTCGTCTACCTTATCCCCTTAACAAAGTCCGTAGTTAAGTCCGTCGAATACCTACCCTAGTAGTCCCCTTATTAGATTCTACTTTCTATACTAAATCTAGTATAGCTCTATATAAACCTATATCGCCCCTCGAATAGCGAATCTATCTAATTAGGTCTCGGATTTAGCCGTAGTAGAGCTTAGGGTTAAGAAGCTAATATCTTTATAAGTTGTCCTTTAGTAAAGATTTTATAGTAAACCTTAGTAAGTAAAGGTCTATAAGAAGGTATAATAGAAGTACTAAGTACGCTATTAAGATAGATATATAGACTATAGACTAGAGATTAAGACTTTCTAATAACTAATTCGCTATTAACTAAGTCTTGCCTATTTTATATATACCGTCGACTAAGGCGCTATAAGCTTACTAAAGAGACACTTTAAGTACTTTAAGTTATCGAGCCGCCGAGTCTACTTAAGAGATAGTTTAATATTAGTCCGCTTACTACGAAGGTAAAGCTTCTTATAGAGATAGTAAGAGACTTAAAGGTAGACGTAAACCTCTTATAGAAAGAGGTTAAGAAGTCGCCTATAGTAGCTACTAGCTCTACCGACTTAGAAGAAAGCTCTCGAAGTAAGGCAACGGTTATTATTAAGAGATCGGAGTTTAAGGCGCTTTTAGTATAAGGTTGCTTATCTTCGCGAGACGATTACTATACTTATAAAGTAATAGTATACCTTAAATAGTATCTCTAAGAATAATATAGAAGTAATAGCAACTATTATTAATCGTTAGCGACGCTCGAAGGGACTAGGAAGGGTTATTAGGTTATAGTCTTAAGCTCTCGAAGAAGGACTATAGATTAGTAGCCTCGTTATACTATATTATATAGTATAAAGAATATAGCGCGATAGAGCTATAATAGTCGTAAGCTATTATAGTCTAGTATTCTTATATATGTCCGAGAGGCTAGTATTTAAGACCCTAGGCGGTCCTTACGTACTTATAGAGATAATAACGTTATATTAGTAGAATAGACTTCCGCGTATAGATAGCGTTACTACTACGAGCGAGGCGCCTTACTTCTTCCGCCGTAGGAAGACTATCGCTCTTCCTAATTTAATATCGCTTAGATTGCCTTCTACTACTATTATAGCTATAACCTACGACAAATTAGCCTTAGGTTCGAGGTAGTAGCGGAGTTAGAGTACGCTATACCCTTACGGCCGCTTCTATAGCTAGTTTCTTATTAATCTCTTACTAACCGAGTTATACTATTTGCTATGCTGGTACTATATAGAAGTCGCGTTAGTAAGTAAACTATTAGTCTTTAGTCTACTTCTTATTACCTCGTAGAAGGATAAAGGCGTAATAACTATAGCGTTAGATAGGAAATAGAATAAGGGGTACTAACCCTTCTGTAATTTGTGCTGGATCGAGTAGTGATAGTATAACTAGTTATAAATGTTAACGCTACCTATATAGTCGTTATATAGGGCGGTAACCTTTAGAAGTAATATCTCTTACTTACCGTCGGTATTCTAATATAGCCGTACGTACTTATTAATATAGGCGTTATTTCTAGCTTAAAGGCAGGTATAAAGCTAGAGTATTCTCTCGAAGAGTTAATAGCCTATTATAAGGAATTAGACGAGGTTCCTATCCTACTAGATTACCGCCGGTATACTATAAACTGCCTTATAAAGTATTATATTATAGGGAAACTAGGTAGTCTTACGATTAAGACCTAGGTATATAGATTTCTATTTTATACTATCCTTCTTTAAATCCCCTAGTTTCTCGAAAGCTTTGCCTCGCTACGGCTACGAGAGTAAGCTAGATCGTATTTTTCTAGTTACTATAATACTAAGATATCGTAGGATTGTAAATAATAGTACGTTATTAAACAGATTATCTATAAGAATATAGGAAAAGTAGTATAGGAAGGGAAGTTATAAGATTAGTCGAAGGACCGCCTACTAAAGCGAGCTTAGCTTAGCGCTTAGCGAGACGGTAGGCAATACAATTAAACTTTCGGTTAGTTTAGATAAGCGGTCCGCGCGGGCCGCGCTTATATAACTTTCCTTTCTAATATTCTAAACTAAATATAATCTAGTATTCTTACTATATCTAATACTACTAGGACTACGGTTCTTACGCTTACGGCGCTTTTTATTACTCTCCTTTATACTTCTCTCGCTCCTTATTCTCGGCGTTTATAAGAACCTCTAGAGTTACTACTAGGTACTTCGCGACCCTCGAAGTAATAGAATCTAAATCTTCGACCTTCTATTTATATACCTTCTAAGGGCTCGAGAATAAGAAGGAGTATAGGTACCTATCTTTGTATAAAATAGGTATAGGATATAATATCCGATTAGTATTAGCTTACCTTATATAAAAATAACGTATCTAGATTTACTAGTAAAACGGATTATACTCTCGTTAATAGATATATTAGTACTAGGTACGACTAACTCGTAGAATTTGCTACGTAATATATTAGTAAGCGGCAATATCTAGGTCTAGGTAGGTAGGCCTCTTCTACTTAACGAGAGCGCGTTATTTCGGGACTATAAAGCCGCCTTAATCTATTTAAAGCGCGACTCGCTTATATAACTAATAATAGAATATTACGGCTAGTATCTATCGTCCCTCTAGTAGTTACTCTTATTAGCTATTTTAATTACTAATATATAGATAATAATACCTATAAAGATCCGTATTACTAGCTTATCTACCGGCTTCTATAGATAGCTAGAAACTACGATCTTATCGCCTTTCTTAAAGTCTAGCTTATTACTAGTATACTCGTTAGTATACTTAACTAGTCGGTCTATAACCTTATTAGTCTAGAAGAGTATAAAGAAGCGATATTAGACGTTATCTAGTAACTATAGGTCGCTATATAGGTCTATAGGCAAATTAACCTACCGCTAGTAAGAGATACTAGTTAGTAGCTCGTAGCGACCTTCTATTCTATCTTCTTCTATTAGATAGTATAATCCGCCTACCCTACTATCTATACCTATACCTTCGACGTCCTTATTTCCTTCTACGACTACTAAACCCTTATAATCTACGCCGCTTAGTATAGACTCTCTAGCCTTCTCGAAAATCGGCTCCCTTTCTTTAGTTAGCTTAGCTAATTAGTATTTAACTCGTCGTCGTCTATTAAACTAGCGAAAGTATCTAGCTAATTATTATTAGTATCGTTGTTATAACTCTCTTCTTTAAAGGTATAGAAGCTAGCGATTACTATAAATTATATACTTCTTAGCAATATAGAGTTTAGAAATATAAAGTTAATTAAGTTATATAGGTAGGCTAATAGCGGCGATAATAGCTAAGCGCTCGAATATAACCGAGTCTAATTAAAGCCTATTTATTTCTCTATAGAGCGGCTTCTATATAGATACTATAGGGATTTTTTCCTATTTTACCGATAAACGCTAATAGCTAACGAGTTATTATAGGGGATATATAGTATACTCCTAGTAGTATAGCTCTATAGAACAAACAAACTAAATACTTTCGTAATAGGATAGAAGAATTCTAGTCTATCTATATATATATATAAGTAAGTAAAAATAAAAATCTATCGAATTAAAAATTCTTAAGTAGTAAGTACTAATAACCTATAAGTAATATCTTTCTAAGTATATTAGAAGTATTTATATATAAAACCGTTAATTAGGGATTATAAATATTTCCCTATAACCGACTATCTCTACTAGTCCCTTTCTCTTTCTATTTATATATATATATATATATATATATATATACCTTTAGCTAATTTTATACCTTTTATTAAAGACTCCTTTAAGCTACGAGACGACTATAATAATAAGGCGAATAGTAGAAAATTATAGGATTATATAGTAGAAGGGAAGAAGTTACTAGAAAGAGTCTAAGAGAAAGGTCGGAACTTTAAGCTTCCTTTTAGATATTTACGACGACTAGTAAAATCGATAGATAGATAGATAGAGTAGGTCTAATATAATAGGGATAGATTAGCTATATACCGTATATTTTAATTTAATAAATAAGGAAACTACTTATAATACTAGCAAGTTTCGGGTCCGGTACCTTCTTTAAATACACAAGCGGGCGGTTTAATAAAGACTTCCTATAGGTAGGGCCTACTCATTTCCATTACGATTGAAGGCAGATACGAGACTGACAACATGACCAAAAACAAAAACTTCTTTCTTGATTGATTTCGTAGAGGGGGTGGGTTATCACAACCAAACTTCCTCTCTCTCTATTCATACACACAACCCCCATCCCATCCCATGCCATCTTCATCGTCATCATCATACTCTGTCGATCTCTATAATCTATCCCACCACTCCTTCCTCTCCGTAACACCCTGACCCAACTGCACATCCTGCTGCTGCTGCTGCTGAGATTGTACCTGCTGTAGCACACTACTCCGTCTCTTCTCCTGCAAACTCCGTCGATACTCCGCGCGCTCCAACGCCAAACGCTCATGCGCCCGTTCCGACTCCAAAACTCTCCGATCACTCGCCCCACCCCCAGATCTCGCACGCCGATGCACAGTCGGGACGCGAACGACCGGGACCGAAGCATTCGAAGGCCGGGGCGAAGAAGAAGAATTCGTCTTCGCGGAAAAAGAAAGACTCATGCTCCAACGCTTGATCGAACCGAGGAGCCCCGTTTGCGAAGACTCGAATTCTGGCTGATGAGTGGTGGTGGTGGTGGCAGATGAATATGATGCAGGGAACGCACTACTCCGTCGTCTCCGCTCGTCCCTCCCCCGCAAAGAAAAAAACCCCCCATACCGCCAAAACCGAAAACTGCCCCAGAACGTCCCGTCACTTCCCGGAATATGTCTCCAAGGCTTCTCGCGCCAACAGAAAATACTCACATCCGCGAAACCCATGATGCTTTGGCAGAAGACACTGATGACGCTGATGGCGTAGATGGGGTGTTGGGCGAAATGATTGCTGTAGTTGAGAGCGTGCGCGACGAAAGGGATGATCCAGAGGATGAGGTAGATGGTTGGGTAGATGAAGAGCAGACGGAGTTGGCGTTGGATAGCTCTGCGGCGTTGGTGGAGGGCGGTGGTTGCGGGGTTTTCTTCGTGCACGAGGGATTTGGAGATTATTGGGTTGTTGCGGGTTGTGGAGGAGGGTTTGTGTTCGGTGATTGTGTCGAGGGGGGCTGGGGAGGAGTTTTCGGCTGAGGGGCGGTTGGTGGAGTCTAGAGGGGGAGGAGGGGCGAAGTCTTCGGCGCCTATGCCGGGTTCGATTTGTTTGCTGCCACGACGGGAGGATGGGAGGCTTTTGCTGGTGGGTGAGAGTGGTCCGGGTGTGATCTGGTCTGCGGAGTCGGGGGCGTTTGCGAAGGGGGAGGACCAAGTCGGGACTGAGGATCTTCTTCCTTCGTTGAATCGAGCGGCTTTGAGAATCCCATGCAAGGATGGTTTGCTGTTTGCTGTGCTGTCATCATCATCATCAGGAGCTACATCGTCGTCGCCAGGCGGCTGCTTCTCTGCAAAGGCGCCATCCGAGATTGACGAAAGGTCGCGGCGCATTGCCACCGTCCCAGCAGTATTAACGGCATTCAATGCTGATGTGTCCATGTTCGGAATGCCGACACTCGAACTCTGATCATTCTCCTGCCCAAACACCCTAAACTCAAATCCCACATGCCGATATATGCGGATTGCTACACCCATGACGAAGATCCAAATGAGATATCTCGGGATCCACGACAGAGCCAGACGATACCAGATGGGGCGAACAGGCAACGAGCAGAATCCACCCTGGGAAATAAATGCCGGTCCCGAGTTGACAAACGCCAAAGCGCTCATCATGTTGGGTACAACGAACCAGCCGGCAATGACAAAGTGCCGTATCCGATAGAGCCCATCGTGACCCAGAAAAGAGCGAGCAGGCGGAAAGATTTGAAGCGACATGTGTAAGCTCATCAGGAAGATGGCACAATCGCACGCTTCCAAGCCCACCTGCAAGAAATAGCCGCTCGCCTGACAGAAGCTCGACTGTGTGTAGATATGCCCTCTGGCAAGAGTCGTGCTGGAAAAAATCAAGAACCAAGCCGACTTCCAGAAATCGCCGATGAGTAAGAGAAGCACCAGATCGCGGCGGAAATTGCGGCGCATCATGCAAAACCAGTAGAGAGCACATAACGCCGCGATGATGCTGATGCTTGAGAATGTGGAAGCGATGATCTGGAGCTGAAATTGCTGTGTTCTCGCGAGGATGGCGGAGGCGTTGAAGTCGGGGTTGTAGCCGAGAGACTCGCGAGTCTGCAATGGCACATCGTAGAGTCCCGCCATCGCTGCCGTGTGTGCGGAAGAAGGGGATGAGATGGTACTTGTTGGTGCTAAAGCCATGGCATCGTGCCAGACTTGACCCATGCCTCTCATGTTGCCGGTCGAATGCCCCAAAGGCAGCAGAGGCATTGTCGTCGGAGCCCAGTGCACATCTGAAGCTGGAAGCCGCAGAAAGAATTGTTGTGGGTGGGCCGCTGGTGCTGTCGAGATGCACCAGCTGCCTTCTGTGCCTATGAAGACATGCCGACAGCGAGCGAGATAATGGAGGGCCTAGATTCGCGGCTGTCGCCCAGGTATCAGGGACGTGTGTAGTTCATTCAGTCGCAAGCGGAAACGCAAGTCGCTGGGGTGAAGACGACAGAAAATTGAGATATGCAAGTTTGCGTTCCAGAGGTCGAATGCGGAGTTACGCAGCTCTCAATCGGCAGTTTTCTTTCTTCCCGCGGCCCAGGCCCAAGACAGTGATTTTAGACTCTTGAGTGGTTCGGAATGCTCCCAAGCTACCGCTCCTTTCGTAGTCAGTCTTTCAGGTTGCGTGGGAGGGATGAAGTTTTCGCGATCACCGCTTTCGTCGTGAGATGGTGGTGGTGGTGGTGGTGGTGGTGATGGTGGTGGGCGGAAGGGCAAGGGATGTATCCAGGCGAACAGCTTGCATTCCTCGTGCATGGAAAGAAACCCGCGTGAGTGGAGGGTGTCCAGCCATGCCAACGGTATCGTCCCGAACAGTGCGGATGCAGCAGCTGAAGAAGGGTCGGGGGATGCCTTTTTGAGCACTCCGGCTCGCCTAAAGCTGAAGATCACTACGGCTTCTAGGCCGAGAAGGATTGTGGGTGGTGGAAGAGAGCAAGATCGACAGCCACGGGCTTGAAATAGGTGTCTGTATACTGGCACCTCGCTAAATCTCGCTTAACTCGCTTCGTAGAGGACCCGTAATTAATGACGTTTGTGTGGGCCCGCCAAGACCCACGATTTTGTATGTGTTCGGGGCATAATTTTAGGAATTATCGAAACAACTAATACCTTATCGCCTCTACTATTATCGCGCTAATAGAAGAACCGGCGCCTAGAAGCTATAATAGCTTTAAGGCTATTCGAGAGAGGCTGTTTCTTACTAAGAAGGACGTTGCTATGCCGTACGACGATTTCCTTATCGCTATAAAGCTAATATCTAATATATATAGTCGCAATAAGGTTACTAAGGTAAAGCCTAATCGTACTAGCGGTAGATACCTATCGAAGGCATATTATCGTTATATTAAGTTGAAATAGATAGCGGCGGCGGATAAGAAGAAGGGCATAGAAGGCGGTAGTAGTTATTATAAACCCGAGTTTGCTACTAACGACTATTATAAGGTTAGCTTAGTCGTTAATATATATTAGGACAGTAAGCAAGGCTCTCCTATTAATGTCGTTATTAAGCGGACCGATTATCGTTATTAGCATACCTATACGCTCTAGTAATGCGACGTATAGCGGTCGAATGCCTATTTTAAGGAAATAGGCTAGAAGTTATTAGATTAGTTACTATAGACTAGTCGAGTAAGAGTAGAACCGCCGCTTTAATCTATACTATAATCTATAGATAGGCGCGTAAGAGCACTACGACAGACAGCTACTATAGGCGCTAACTAATAAGGCATTAGAAGAGTAGGTAGAGCGAGTGCGACAATAGCGATAGTAAGGTAGATAGATAGCAATAGCGATAGTAAGGCAGATAGACAGACAAGCAAGAGCGCGTTAATAATACCTATATTTTGCTATACTATTAATGCCTTACTAATACTTTAGCTTTATTTTAAACTAGTGCCGGCGGCGGCGACAGCAGGTGCTAGCGGTACTAGCGGTGCTAGCGGTGCTACGCTATTCCTAAAGAAGAGCTAGAAATAGGTGCGTTTCGTTATAATTATTAGGAACCGCGTACTTCCGAAGGCACGTACGGCCTTAGCGGTGCTAGAATATAGACACCCCTTAAAATGGCGTTTATACACCCGGCAATGCTCTAGCAATTCTAACTGCTCCGAAGCTACGTTAATCCTTAGATACTTCCCCGAGCCCTAGCTAGCTGCCCGAGCCCTAGTAATATAGTAGATTATAGAATCCGCTGTTCCTAACAAAATCGCGTAGGGAAGCGATTTCCGGATCCCCGCAACTACTACTAACCGGGCAACTACTTCTATACTGCTACTAGCTATAAAGCTAAAGTTTGTTAGCAAATTAGTAGTGTAGCAAAATTTAAGGTATTATTAGTTGCTATCTACTTAGATCTAAGCGGGTTACGACCTATAGCCTTATAACTACGTAATACTATATATACTAGCTTATACTAATCTCTCTACTACTAACTAGCCTACTACTATATATAATACTACTACTAAGTAAACTAATAGTACTATTACTATAGTACCTAGTAGTAAAGTAGCCGTCCTATTAGCTATATAAGCGACTATTATTATTATTACTAGTACTAGTAGTATTGCTAAGTAGCCTATCGTTATTACTATTTAAATAACGCTGCCTATTACTATTTAAACAACGCTACCTATTACTAAGTACGCTATTCTTTACGCGCTCGAAGGTTATTAAGTTCTTACCCTAGAAGGTCTAGCTTAGAAGGAGGTTATAGTTTAACCGCGAAGTGCTTCTTAACGTAGATTATAGCACTCGAAGCCTTAAGGGTAGTAGGTAGGTCTATATAGATAGTTAGCCTTCTAGTAAGGTTACTACTACGTACGGTACTAGCTCTTTACGTACTTATAGTAGTCTATAATAGTCGTTCTTAGCTAAGTAAGCGATATACTAGGCTCGAGAGTAAAGTTAGTTATTATCGCTATATTTAGCTTCCGCTTCTTAGTAGTAATAGTATTTAAGTTAAGTAGTAAGTATACGCTTTATTATATAGATAGTCGCTCTACTAGTAAGAGGTTTACGGTTACTAAAAATAACCTTTAGCTTATATAGACGAGACTCTTACTTCTTTATAAAGTCGATAAGCTAGTAGTCGTAGAAGTAGCGTAGTAATAGTACTACTCGCGAGCTACTTGTCTTAATTAGCTTTATAATCTCGTATTTATACGGATAACCGAAGGTTTTAGTAAGATAATTATTATAGCGGCACTACGGATAGCTATATAAGAAGGCGGAGTGCTTAATCTTATTACTATTATCGTTAGTCGTAGTCCTTAGAAGGGTAATAGCATATTTATATAGCTTAGCTACTTCGAGAAGGCAATAGTCGCTAATAACTCGAGAGATACTAGTATAGAAGGCTCTAGTTAGTAACTTGTTATACCTTTTTAGGTTGTCTACTCTCGTAGTACGGCGGCGGTCGTAGCCTTCTTAATACTAATTAAGAAGCGACTCGAAGAGCGTAAAGATATCGTGTCTGCTACTATAGTTAAGCTAGAGCTTAATACGTCTATAGTAAGACTCGACTCGAGAGGTTGTCTTATAACTAAAATATAGGACTTAGTTAGTCTAGTAGTTAACAATCCGAGTCTTATAGAACTACTAGTTCTTATAAAGATAGGCCTTAAATGTAGGATATGCGTTATCTGGCTTAATAACGTTATTATTAAACTCTTCCTTAGTCTTACTATATATAGTATAAGTAAATAGCTTTATAAACTAAGTTATAGATAGACTATTAGTCTAACAACCGTTAGATTTAATCTATATAAAGTCGCCTCGCTTCTTCCTTACTCGAGTAAGTATATCTTAGTTTAGGTACTACTTATAGACGATATTCGAGGCCTTTGGAAACACCTCGTTAACCGCTAGTATTAAGGCTTCTTTACGATTAGTCGCTATAACGAGAGGTATAGTATAGCAGCCTTATTTAAGGCCCTTCCTTATAGATAGTAATAACTCGACAAAGTTAGCTTTCTTAGGCTTAATCGTATCGTTTATCGGTTTAGCGGCGACTATATCTAGTAACTCGAGGTTATATAGATTAGTCGAATAAGTAGTATCGAGAATTAGCTAATAAGGCGTCGCTTTAAAGGCCTCGAACGAGGTTAGATAAAGAGCTACTATTACCTTAATTAAACCCTCCTCGTCTATCTTAATATTATAGAAGATAGAGCACTAATCGAGTAGGTTAACTATCCGCTAAGCTTAGTTATTAGTACGCCGCTTATAAAGAGTCCTATTCTAGGAGATATTATATATATCGTAAGATTTAAGTATTACTCCGCGCCCTTAAAAATAGGCTATTATCTTCGATATTAGTATATAAGCCTATTATAAGCGCTCTAATTACTCGAGGAAGTCGGGACTCGGCCGTTTTTAAGCGCTACCGGATAGTAGCAAGTACGACAACGTCGTCCTTCTTATAGTTATACTAATAGTATTCTTCCTTACTAGAATAGCGAATTTGCTACTTACTATCTAGCTTAAGAGGGCGGATAGTAATAGTATAGAAATAGAACTTATAGTCTATCTTTTTCGTCTTCTTCTATACCTTATTTATAGTATTCTAGGTACGCTTATCTAGTTAACTTGTAAGAAGGGTTATATTAGTAGGTAGATAGGGTAGTAGTAGGTATAGGTAGTATTCGATAGAGAGCTAGGAGGAGAGGGAGGAAGGTAGGCTAGTTAGTCTAACGCTAAGCGCTAAGCCTAGCCTAAGGCACTAAGACCCTAGCTTTACTTAGCCTAGTTATATACTAATTACGTATAGCCCCTTTAGCCCTAATATACGCTTCCCTTCTAAAGGCCGCGCCCTCGTAGCCTGTCTATATTCTAATCTCGACCTCTATTGCTACTAACTTAGCAAGTCTAATAAGCTACTTAGATCGCGCTAAATTAAACACTTAACTACCTAATTATATAACTATATTAAACCTTACCTTCTAATATAATGTTTAACTCTAACTGCGCTATTCCTATATATAACAACCTATAAAGTAATATATATCTATAAGAATTAAGGACTATCGACTAATTATAATACGAGCGCGTCTTCTCTACTATAATAGATAGGCGTACGAGGTATTGTAGTACTACCTCCGTTCTAAGTAATATCGTATCGAGTTCTTTGCGTCTACTTTTAAAAGACCTAGTAATGTCCGCTCCGAGGGTTGTTCTTATTATTATAAGGGCTATTATTTACTATCGTAGTTTCGCTAGCCCTAATTAGTTAGGTTTAGCAGCCTTTAATTGTTAATTAATCTTATCTTTTTAAAAACGCAGTTCGTCTAGTTTCTATAGATAAAGGCTATTATAAGTATAATAGTTAAGGTTCGCTTCGCTTAAAGGGTCGGAAAGATTAAGGAGTAATCTATTATTCGCAAGATCGACCCTAGCTAGCTTAGCTCTATATTTTTGCCCTTAGTTAGTCTATTAGTCGTTTAACCTTTTTAGTCCCTAAGCCCTTCGAACGGCTTAGCCCCTTTTAACCTAGTATCTTAGCCTTAGGCTTATAGTATAGGTAAGGTTGTTCTTATAGGTATAGCGATAATAGTAGGTAATATTAACAATAGCGGCGCTAGCCGTCTTAGCGCTAACTTTACCTTGCTTCTAATTTCCTTCTTCGACTAATAATACACTCTATAATACTATTACTAATATAGCCGCGCCGTCCCCCTAGCTATCGCTAGCTCGTTACGCGACACTATCGTTATTATTATTATTATTACCCGCGCGCGCGATATCCTCGCCGGTCGCCTAGGCCTCGAGGCCTCGATAGAAGGAAGGAATAAAAGGGGGGCCTAAATACTAGGAGGGGGCCTTATAGGGCGCGTTAGTAAAGAGGTAGAATCCTTAAAAGAGTAGGGGATTAGTCGACAGTTATAGCGCGCTCGTTAATACTCGGTACGCGCTCGCTATTATAGTATAGTCTCGTTGTTCCTTACTAATAATTGCTTGCTTCTAATTAGTTAGCTTAATAGCATCCCGGGGATAGTATTGTTCCTAGGCCTCTCTAGTAACATTATAGGCTCTTAGCCTTCTTCTTGTTCTTTATACTAGTCTAATACTCGTCTAACAACTTA